GAAAATTATTGGTTTATTACATTCTAGTATGTGTTTTCTTCTTGAAAGTTTGAAACACTTGGGAAATGTTTAAGATATAGCTATAAAACTCCATTAATGTTGTATGATCTATGTGGAGGCTACTTCTTGTTGTTGCAGCTGCTTCACCTTTACAATGTATTTAGCCATTGCTTCTTCTTTGTTCTATGGTGGAAAAGAGCATTGTTGTTCTCCAAGAAGAAACATCGCAACTTCCCAGGAGACCCTGATCGAGGACGTCACTGTACCCGAGGATGCAGGTCTTCAGATCGTGACTGAGGTCCTGGTTCAGAAGTTCGATCATCGTCATGGCAAGGTTGTTTGGTGTATAGGGAAGGTGGGGGTTCGTGAGACGGGTGCCTCATCTTCCAAATCATCCACAAGAGAGGTCAATGCCCTGAAGAAGGAAGTGAGAACCCTAAAAAATCAGCTTGCGGCCCAGGGCGAGCAGATGAGAGCCTAGGGCGAGCAGATAAGGGCCCAGAACGAGAAGATGAGTATGATTGTACGGGCCTTAAAGATGTCCAGCCTCTAAATCTCGATGCCAGCACCTGATCTTGCTCCACCTTCGACTTCCCAGCCACTTTGCCCAGCTGCTGCCCAGTAGCATGATGTATTAAACTTAGAAGACTTGTAGTTTTTTCTTTTTTGTTCGGACATATTGTATGTACATTTTCATATATTTTATAATTAAATACTTTTTCTTGGTTTATTAATTATTGTTTAGAATTTAATTACAATATTTATTAAAAATTAAATAAATAAAAAATTTGCCCAAAAAAAAATGGTTTGCTTGATGAAGAAGTGACCTACGTCGCACAAAGTAGTTTTGTACGACGTAGGTCAGTTCATCGTCACACAAACCCTACTGTCATTGCCTTGGGTCGACGGTTGGTGTGCAACATAGGTTTTTTGGGCTAATTTTTGCCCGACATTTTTTTTACTTTGCACGACCAAGGACCTGCATCGCACAAAGTGTTTTTTGTACTAGTGATAAGCATTGACGAACCATTCGTAACTATGAAAAGCATGATAATCTTGCCAAGAATTTACTTACTCAATCATGACTAGTGACTTTTACTACTTACAAATATAAGTTCATAACGATTAGGTGAAATTCCCTTATATTATAGCATCAAATCCTTGCATGCAAACTAAATGTGCACCCATAATAAACATACAAGAATAAGTTTTCTATAAAGCAGATAAGTAAATAAATCGCATTCATGTTTTACAAAACAATAAATAGATGTAATCAATTTATATAAAACATATGATCATGGCTTCGAATTCACCTTTAGCTAAAAAGAAACTTAGTTACACATGTTCATCATAACTGAAAAGCAATCTAAAATAAACATTGAAACTTAAAACAAAGATAGAAGAACTCTGAAAAATTCTAGCAGCTTCAATGGATGAATGGTAGGCGTGGCACACTTCTCTAACGTTTTTAATTATTTTAGGACTCTAAGAAATAGTTGAAGAGTGTTGGAATGTGATTACGATTCTTCCTTGCAGCTGGAGACAAGATAAGATATGATAAGATAATGTTTCACTCTAAGTAAGATTCCTCTTTCTTGTTTAATTTCTTGTCTTCCAAGCCTCAACTGTAATTTCTCCAGATTTTAGCACATGTTTAACACCTTTTAAACACCAAAAACGTCTAGCCTATATGGTATCCAATCCAAGTCCAAAATTGCTCCAAATTGCTCCATTTGATATCTAATTGTCAACTTTACCATTGAACCTACAATCAAACGAAAATAACTTAAATTACTATAATAAATGGAAATTAACTAAGTAAATGCAAAGAAATAAGATAACAAAGTCGCATAAGTATGCTCCCGTCAAATTCCCCACACTTAACTTTTGCTAGTCCCCGAGCAAAACAAAATAATTTAATCAAAACATTAAATGCTAAATAATTAAGTAAAGAAAAGTTAAAAAAAAAAAAAAAAAAAAAAAAACCCTAAAACCCATGTCTTCCCCATCCCCAACCGCATTCACCCAAATTCCACTTCACTTGATTCCAGAATCACCCCATATTGGCAACATCCCAGCCAATCCTCGTCTTTTGCAACCCACACAGACCAAGCCTTTTAGCGACGATCAGGCCTTCAAGGTGCTCAACATAATTTACAGATTCGACAGGACGTGGTGTTTATCGCTGATCTGAAAGGTTTGTTGATGGACACGAGAATCTCAATTAGATCCCAATTCATCGGGAAAGGCGAGATGAGATTGGTTAGTGTCCTCCGAGAGTTCTTCACCGGCGACAACCTCGGAGTCGATTCATCACCTTTGCAGTTGCTGCTCCGCCCTTCACTCTTACTCTAGTGTAGAAACTCCTTCACACCCATTTGGTATTTTAATTCCAACCCAGAAATTCAAAATTTTGAAATCCTACCCAGCGGAAAGGACGAAAAGGTAGGCGTGCTGCAGGAAGACAATTTGCTTAGGCTTAGAGAGCCTGCCGCTATGGGTGAGGTGCAACAGAAGTGGGTTGCCGAGAACGGATCTAACAAGTCTATCGAGGATCCTCAGCATCGACATGTCGAGATCCCAGAAGCTGCCATTATCCCTTTCTAGAACCTTCTGCAACTCTTTAAACCCATTTGACGTGGCAAATGGATATCTATGTGTCCAAGTTTTGGAGGAAGTAGGCTAACGTGTAATGGGGTCCACTACTGCCACGTCATTTCTTAATGAACCAATGAATGGAAAATATAACAGAGGTATTTATATTGAAATAAAATAGTACGTGAGATATGGAAGTGAAATTTTTTGAAGATGATGCAATAGACCTTAAGCCTAAGATGGTAAAATGTAATTTACCCAATTAATTAACTTTTTAAAGTTGTCATTAACTTTAGCATTTTAAAGTAATATAATTAGAATTAAATAAATTATTTACTATAAATATTGTTTTGAAAATGAATTTTTTAAGGGGTGTGATATCCACACACCCATTTTTACTTCTCCCACACCTTTTTGGTTTTCAACCGTCGGATCGGATGAATTGAAGAATATCAACGAACAGAAATTAACAAGAAGTGTGTGAGAAGTAAAAAAGGGGTGTGTGGATAGCATACCCCTTTTTTAAAAGAAATGGAAAAGGTTAGCCCGACAAATAATTTCGTAAAGCAGACTTTGTACTATATTTTTATTTTCGTTTAAATAGTTACCTGACAACATTTTCGTTGGGCCAAATTTTTAATACTATTTATTTAGTGCGAGGTGACGAAATCTCTTGGTCAATCAAGATAATTTCGATGGGTCAAAAATGTCACCGCACTATTGTGTGACGACTTTATTCAGCAGACAAACTTTGTTTCACCTGACGAGTTTCTATTTTTATCAGATAAAGCTATACTAGGGGTTGGAGAACTGGACTAAACCTCACAATGTGCTAGCAATAATGTGGTTCAAATTCGTCTTTGACGAGAATCAAACCTGAGACTTTTCACTTACAAATGAAGAGGAATACCACTAGATCGTATTACTAAATAGCTCTACAACAATATATTTATATCAATTTAGAGCCTTTGTCTCTGTACCATTCAACAATCATGACTATTGCCTATTGGAAAAATTGGAAATAAAATTATAATTTGATTACGTACATGCTAATTTTAAAATAAAATTACAATTTAGGGCCTTTGTCTCTATACCATTCAAGAAGGGTAAATTACACTTTACCACCTCTATTACAATTTTAATATAATACATCCATTACATTTTCCACCCATTCATCCTTTAAGAGCTGACGGGACTGCCACATTTGTGGCACGTGGCTGCCAAATTTGTGTCATGTGGCAAAAAAAATAATTTTTTATGCATTAAAAATATTATAATATTGACCCTATTAAAAAAAATAAAAAAAGACAAAACTGAAAAGAGTGGAGGAGAAGGAGGTGGGTCGGGGAGGGGGGTGAGGTGGGGGTGGGTTGGGTTTTTGGATGGGAGGGGAGGTGAAGAGAGTGGAGGAGAGGGAGGTGGGTCAGGGGGAATAGTTTCAGGGTTTCAATTTTGTTTTGTTTTTTTTTTCTTTTTTTTTTAAATATTAAAATATTTTTAATGTAAAAAAAAAAAAATTTATCACGTGGCACAAATTTAGCAATCATGTCAGCTTTTAACGGATTAATGGATAGAAAATATAACGAATGTATTATATTGAAATAAAATAATACGTGAGATATGAAAATAAAATTTTTTTTGAAAATATTGTATGAGATTGTAATAAATCTCAAACCTAAGATCCCTAATCATGACTATTGCCTATTGGAAAAATTGGCGATAAAATTACAATTAGGGCCTTTTGTGTGTCCCGTTCAAGAATCATTATTGCCTATTGGAAAAATTGGCGATAAAATTACAATTAGGGCCCTTGTGTGTGTCCCATCCCATTCAAGAATCATGACTATTGCCTATTGGACCCTACCATATAGCCACTGAAATCGACCACCACTTTTCACCGTTGAGATGTGGAAAAAAGAGACCCCTTATAATCTAAACCCTATCTTTTAAAAGTAAAGCATAAACTTTTTATTTGTTTTTAGCTTTTTTGGTCGACCAAAAAATAGTTATAGCCTCGTCCTTTTGTTGTGGGAACTAATCCATTACCCTAAATAAAGTAAAAAGTCAAGCAATAATGTAATGTTTCAATCCGACTACAGAGCCACTTAGTACAATAATTTAATAATATTCTAATAATTTGTAAGTTAAATGTCTTAAATTTAATTCTTACTAAAATAAATTTGAACTATACCATTTTTAATTTAATATGAAATTTAACTCACTCTTCTACTATTTAAATATGAGATAATATGGATATTAGAGTAAAAAATCCGATCCCAGATCTGTGAACATGGAAGAGAAACGAGCGGACACTTATATCGACAGGTGTCCTCAACTTCTCATGCCAACCTCCTTGACACGCGTCACAAACCCAGTATACACGGCACCACCTCCCTACAAATATCTCCGAAAATCCTCCCCTGATCAACAAGCCTGCAAGTCTTTGAAGTCTCTATTGGATTCGATCAAAAATCTTGTATTTTGTTGGCTTGCGTTTGAAAAATGGCCGAAGAAAGTTTCATGGATAAGGCCAAGAACTTCGTGACAGAAAAGATAGGAAACATGGAGAAGCCAGAAGCAGAAGTCACAGATGTTGATTTCAAGAAGGTGAGCTTGAGCTCTGTGGAGTACCTTGCCAAGGTATCCGTGACCAATCCCTACAGCCACTCGATCCCCATCTGTGATATCAAATACACCCTCAAAAGCGTTAACAGGTTCCATTTCTCACTTTTTAACACTGCTCAATTGGATTCCTTGATTTCTGGCTGCAACAATCTTTACGAAGTTCCGCTTTCGTGCATATATTTCTAACTGTGTCGAATCTGATCCGTGTAATTTGCGAATTGTTTCGATCCGAGGACACACATTTAGCACCTGTTGATTTCTTCGCTAAATCCGTCAAGTATGCCCTAGCATTTACTTTTGACCATTTCGTCGCAAGAAACCAACAGAAGTGGACAAATGTCCTCGGATCAGAACAGTTTACAAACTAGGTTAATCAAATTTGATGCAATTAAAGATGCAATTGAAAAGTCGTTTGTACTGCAGTCTGTTGGAGGTAAGTAGGAAGTTTTAGGTTCGATTGAGTAAAAAAAGGCTGTAATGCGCTAGCATGCATACTCTTTCTCTATCTATGGGCAAGACTTGATCCAGATCTATAGATCTCCCCAGCATCAAAGCAAGAGTTTAATCTCCATTCAATGTCGTTTTATAAAAATAAAATAAAATTAAAAGTGGTGGGTTGACTTGGTGTTTAGAACTACTACCTTCAACCCATTGCGTCATAGTTCAAACCACTTCTATTTAGTTTTAGTTTAAACAAATGTAGAACACCGTTTTTATTAAAAAAATAAAAAATAAAACTTGTGGATATAATTGAAAACACATGGATAATAGTGAAAACTTTGGGAAAATTAGATGGCTAAAAACGCGTTTTGCGCATTTCTTTTTCCATGATTTGTGGTTTGATTTTGGGTATACATGTGGATTTGCAGGGAGATTGCATCCGGGACCATACCGGACCCTGGATCCATAAAGGCAAGTGATGTAACTGTGCTGGAGGTGCTACTGAAGGTTCCACACAGCATATTGTTGACATTGGTAAAGGATCTGGGTGCAGACTGGGACTTCGACTATGAGTTGGACATAGGCCTCATCATTGACCTACCCGTCATCGGCAACTTCACCATCCCACTCAACAAGAAGGGAGAGTTCAAGCTTCCCTCCCTCTTCTAATCATCATGTCTCTTGGGATTCAATTATTTTGCTACTATTTTATGTTATGTTATCTTACGTTTGTTGTTCTTTCATCATGGAATGGATGAGGATTTGCGTGGTGCTAGTGATGTTTTCATCTAATTGAGGGAGAATAAAGTAACCTTTATAACAACCACAACTCACATTTTTCTTTTGCCAAATTGCACTCTAGTTTACTTCTTTATGCAAATGTTTGTGTCATTTTCTTGTCACATTGTAGTTTGAGCATCTTTCGAAAATATCTTAAATTTTTATTAAATTAGATAGTAAACGGTGCTGCAAATTTATTTTAGCGTGTTTAATTTAGCATCTTCAACAACACTCTACTTTGATAATAAAAAAATAAAAAAATAAATCACCTTTTACTCTTAATAATTTTAATATTTCATTAGTTTTTAGGGAGCTATACGTGCATAGATAAAAATACAATATATATTTCACACAATTCCACCAGTTTTCAAACATTTTAAAGAGGACAAAAGCTAAAAAACAACCTAAAACCAGTCCAAAAGCAAAAAACAACCAAAAACCAGTCCAAAAGCAGGAACAAACTTTATCAAATTACAGCACATACCCCTTAACGGGTCCGTTACTAAATGGCCCAACATTAACCACAGAATCGATAAAATAAATGAATTGCCATTACGCCTTTACCAAAACCGGTAAACTGACGTCATTTTCTTTATCCTCCACATTTTTCGAATCCCTCACTCGGAGCTTCAACTGCTCCTTTCAGAAACCTAGATCCACTACCAAATTTTTGAGATTTGTACATTTCTCCAAACTGACCGACCAAGTTTCTACAAATTGACTGAAGAAGTTTTTGCAAATTGCCGACGATAAAGTCGACCGTTTTCCTCAAGGGACATTTCTGCATGATCAGTTCTCCCATTTTGAAAATGGTAATCCACAACTCATAACTTGTTTTTATAAATCCAACTGGTCCTTAAAAAACTTAGATCCACTGTACAAAACACAACAATTTTTTCACAATATCAGTCTGGAAAAAAAAAAAAATTAGTTTTGCAAATAAAAAAAAAAAACCCGCTATTTCAAAAGAAACTAAACTCATTCATTTATACCCGAACACTTTCATTTCACCAAAAGTCCACTGGTTTTTTCTGCATGATAAGTTTCTCCCTTTTAAAAAATGTAAACCCCCACCCAAAACTTGTTATTTTACAAATTTGCATGTGCAAAAATCTTATACGGTTATTTCTGCAGGATCAGTTCCTCCTTTTCAAAAAAAATGTAAACCCCCACCAAAAGCTTTTTATTTTGTAACTTATATAAATCTTTTTATTGTGTGAGATGCTTTCATAAAAATCTTTGTAGGCGTGTGAAAATTGATTTTTATTATAATTTAACCAAAACTATGTAGAAACAGTTTATGTTAGACTATTCATATGTAAAATCAATTTATGTAAGATTAGTATCAAATTTTATGTTCCTAGTTTATTTTTTGTAAGATCAGTTTAAGATTTTTTTTATTGGAAGCAATTTCATTCTAAGTAAACTGATGTGAAATTAATGTGTGTTAAACTACATATTACATCACTTATGTGAAAAAATCATTGAGAAATGCCAGTTTAATTCTTAGTAAAATTTGCAACATTAGTTTCAAAATACTATGCAAGTTTAATATATGCACTCATGTAATGTCAGCTTCAACACATTCAAAAGTTTCTATCGCATCACTTTCAAAACAATATGAAACAAATATGTTACAACATGTGTACCATTAGTTTGTGTTATTATTAAATTATGTAAGATCAATTTTAATGATTCCACATCATGCTTAATTTAGGCAGGTTACAAATTATTGTAATCATTCAATCACTGCTAAATTGGAGTCATTGATTCATCTAGAATGCTTCATAAAACGTGCTATTCCTCCAAAGTATTTCAGGCGGTGCCGGAAACGAACCAAGGGAACTGAGTACTTCCATCAAGCCCCAAATCCAACTCGATAAAAAAAAGGTCCCAACACAAACTATGCAAAGAAGTGCCTCATTCCTTTCTTCTTGCAAGGCCCACCGAGTCCAAGACCAAGCAAGGCGCTCTGCCGCATCATCCCACAAAAGGACACATGTGGGCATGCTCTAGTGTCCCTTCGTTGCCACATATAGGCCAAAGAACATAGGGACAGCTAACAGGTATAGTCAATGCATCTAGCGCTTTAATTGCAAGGGAAGTGATATGTTCAAACATAGGGGCTAAAGATTCAAAGAATGGCCTATAAAAGGTGGACGAGTACTCCTTAGAAGAGGTCGAACGAATTGAGAGAGAAACTATAATATTCTAGCCGAGCGCTACTTGTATACCTTGTTCTCAATTTTACATAAGAAACGTGGGGATGAATCACTTACATTCTTTGTCAATTATCCTTTGTTTGCAAAGCTCAAGTCCATCAAAGAGTCAACACTCGATCCATTCAATCTCTGTAAGCTTCACCAATTTTTAGCATTAACACTACCAATATAAAACTAACATACACTGACATCATATTCCAGAAAATGACGAAAAAATCATACACTAACATACACAAACATGCAAAAACATCATACTTCAGACAGTGACTACAAATTCATTGATAATATAACAACAAAAAAAATCACATTGGCAATAAATTAATTATAATTTCAACCTTAACTTACAATAAAATGATTGCTCTACTCCAGGATGATGAAGAGATGCCATCATCACCAAGATTAGCCGTCAAGTGCCTAAATTCCTTATCTTCTTTTATGAACCCTAATTTGCTTCGCCAAGAAGATCAGTGGATTAAACTCAAGGGTAGAATGAAGGCAAGACAAAGAGGTGTGTAAGAAATGAAATGTCTAAAATACCCATGAATTCAATGTTTTTTAATGGAATGAGTGAAGTGAGACCAAAAGAGTTGAAAATGGTAAATTTAGGGGCAAAATAGACAAAACTAGTTTGAAGAGGTAAATTGAGATTAAATGATAGTTTTAAGGGACAATTCAATTAACCAAAGGGATCAATGTTTGTATGTCAATATGCACTGAAGTTTGCTGGGTCGTAGCATTGTATGTAACGTGCTCCAGTTACACTTTCGAGAACAAATATAGTTTGTATTTAATTGATGCAGCAAAAGGGGATGTAGCTCAGATGGTAGAGCGCTCGCTTAGCATGCGAGAGGTACGGGGATCGATACCCCGCATCTCCATTCCATGCTTCCATTTATTCCACTGTTTTTTTGTATTGTCGATGAATTTTGCTTGTTAGGTAATGAGGATAACTTAATCTATGATTATTTATCTTAATAATTGGTTTCATTAATTAAACCAAAAAAATTAAATCCCCTGTATTGAGGCTGTATGACTTTCGTAATGGCTGCTGTCAGGAAGTCCAAATAGAAACCCAACAGAATCAACCACCAGAGATATAGGCCTCCTCTGGTTTCAAACTCCATGGCAGAACTTTCAAAGTCCTGCACACTTTATTGTTCAACGAATTTTCCTCACAATCTGAATTTTGGTATTTTTGGCTCCAAAAAGTAAACACAAAAAATCCAAGTCCAAATTCATAATCTTAATCTTTCTCTGATCAAGGAACTCAAACATGGCTGATCAGATGAAGGAAGACCAGCTCCATCAGCCCCATGGCTCAAGGAATCTAGAAGAAGTGGTACCAATATTTTCTGACAAGTCACTTCCCAGGAGAAGAAGAATCAAATTCTGTGGGATTGCACTTGCAGTTGTCATCCTCCAAATTGTAGTCATTGGTGTGCTTTGCCTTACTGTTTTCCGATTCCGAGATCCTAACGTCACGATGGCGGGAATTTCTACGGAGAATTTGAGCATGGTGGTTGGGAATCCTACCACAATCAACGTGACGCTGAGGGAGGAGATTAAGGTGAAGAATGCAAACTGGGGTCGCCTAAAATATGACCAAAGTGTTGTGGTTTTGTCACATGAGGGTGTGACGGTTGGAGAAGCAACAGTTTCAAAAGGGTCTATTGCGACAAGGAGGAGCAAGGAGGTGAGCGTTGTGGTAGAGGCGAAGATTTATGGTGGTGGCGGAGCAAGCGGGGAGATTAGTTCTGGGGTTTTGAATTTGAAGAGCTATATGAAGGTGAGTGGGAAGGTGGAAATGGTGGGGATTGTGTCGAAAAGAAGAAGTGGGAAGATGGATTGCAGTTTCACAATTAGTTTGACCAGGCAGGCAATCCAGGAATTTCACTGCCAATAATTTCCAAGTTAAAATATATATTTCTTTTTTTTTTTTTCCTCTCTAGAGTGCAGCTATTGTATTTTTCAGCACATTATTGTATGCCTTGATGTCTAAATATTTTTCAGTTTATGTTTTTAAGCTTGTTGAACGTAAAAATAGCTGAATGAAATCTTCAAGTTTTAATTTTTTAAGCACATTATTGGTGCTGCCAAAAATTCATCTTTCAAACAGATGGTCTGGTTTGCAGTGAGGATTGAACCCGTCATGGTTGAAACTTGAAAGCAAACGTTGGAGATTTGCAATGTATTTGGTCGTAGATTTGTATTAGTCACTTAAATAACTCGTCCAAACATTACCATCTAGAAGAAAGATGTGAAGAGAGAGTATGTGACCATGCCATAGATTTGTATTAGCTTCACATTTAGGTCATTTTGTTGTTTGCATGACCACAATACATGTTATAAAAACAATAACTTACTTTATCACATCACGTAACAATGTAATAGTAACACTGATAATTCTTGATAAGTTAGTATGAGCATACATAATAGAACTAGTGAGTAATGAGAAACTTCGTTACAAGTAAATATTGTATTAAAAATAGGGTTATACCTTTTACACAGCTAACTAAAAATATTGTCAAAATTAGAGTACCGGGGAAAGAAAGGTTTATTTGCACTTAATTAATTAATTAGAGGATCAGGTGGAGAAAGTAGTTAAAGTTGGATGGTAGACTATTGAATATAATTATTTTGTATTTGATATGAATAGTCAATTGAATGAAATAATGGTTTGGAATTTATGTGGTTATTGGTCTCATTCAGGTACGTAGGCACCAGCACCCCCACATTTGACATTTCTTATGTGGTTATTGTCCTAATTAATGTAACATGAACAATGGCATGAATTTGAGAAAGACTGCAATGTGACACTACA